TTCTCCTGTCGCCTCTCTTCTTGACATAAAACCGACCTGTGCGCAGGTCGACCATGCACCTGCTGCAGAGTCCCACTCCCAGCATGCACAGTGGTGAACGGGATGGACTGACTGGGATCTCCTAGAAGCTGCTGTTCTGGGAGAGCAGCTCTGCCGTTCTAATGACAGGGAATCCAGTTTGGTCGGATTTTTATGGTGGAAAATTACTGGCAGCGCGACTGCCGCGCCTTTCTCCTCATGAATGAGAGTTTATATAGGCAGCCGGGCTAGTGTGTGTGGATCGTTAAAGACATGAGGAGCTGCCAGAAAACACACAGCGCTTTCACACACTCAGCTTATCTCCAGCCGCTGATTCACACCAGAATCTTCAGGGTGATTAACAGCCTTTGGAGCTTCCTGCTGAGGCATCGCTCAGTCTGAGGTTCAAAGGCTGCTACATTAGCATCAGGCTAACCCTACGAGCCTGAGCAAGAGCAATTTCTGCTGGTTTGGACTCAGTTTTACTCAGGAGTGTGTTTGTTCAGAGAAAAGGCCTGAATAGGAAAACCTCTGAGATGCATGTTGAGTTTTAGAGGCTTTCAACAGGATGTCAGTAAGAGCTGCAACTAACGATTATTTGTTAGCAATTATTCAGATTTTTTTATTTAACCACATTAGATTATTTTATACAGTGTTAGGGATACATACAAAACTTCAAATAAACAAATAAATTCTTTATTTTAAATGGAAAAATACACTTTTGTTTTTACATCCTTTTAATGAACATTTGATCATTAGTTGTTAATGATACATCTGCAGCTAAAAAAATCTAAAATAAAACAATAGATCAGGCCTTTCAAAGGCTTGAGATTTTGATATTTATTGGAATAAATATTAATACCATGTAGATCTGATCTGCTGATTATTTGCAGGATTAATTGACTAATAACTGGATAGCAAAAGGTGGAGCTGAAACCTGCAGAAGCCAAAACTGACCCTTGAGATCTGGGTAGAACATATTTACAGATAAAATATATATATTTTTTTATCTTAAAGGCAAAATGTAATTTTTTTTCTTCCAGTTTTTGTTTTAATTACTACTCAGGGAGTTTTGTTCTTTCAGAAAACACCCTTTTTGAGTCTCTATACGTTTCAGCCTCGGTGTCGTACAGGTTTTGTTTTGACGTTTGTGTGGCAGTGAGTCTGTGGAGGAGCAGAAGTTTTGACCGACTGAACCAGAAACCTGCGTCTCTGCGCTCTGCAGCCCCAGTGCCTCCTTGTTTACATACCGCGCTCCTGCAGATGAAAGAGGAGCCGGTGCCTCCTTCCATCTGGTTCAGACATGTCGGCAAACCGGCCGTCCTCGCCGTCGGCTCCAAACACCAAAACAAAGCCTGCGCTTGGGTAACCGCTGCGTTTTAACCCTTTAATGTCTGCCGTCCACTGTGCAGGCTCCAGGGCTGTGGATGTAAATGTAGCTGCAGTGGTTCCCCGTCCCCCTGCGGCTGCTCACACACTCATGTGTTTCCTATTGAGGCTGCATGGAGCAGCAGCTGCAGCAATCAGCAGCCATGTGTGCCGCAGTCCTCCAAAATATTTTTAGTCTCAGCGTTTATTTTTAGAGCCAACAAATTGGGATCTGCAAATAACACTTGTTGGAGCGGAAGGTGGGACATTCCTGATCAGGAGTCCCGTTTAGACGGATAGAATAAAACGGGATCCTTTAAGGGTGGTTTTGGTTTTAAAGCTGGATTTAGCTCTAATTTAATGACGTCTCTTATTCCAAACACAGGAATGATGCTTTTAAACAGCCTAAGAACCATATAAAGTGTAAAAAACAATCTCAAAATGTTTTTTTTTTTTCCAGGCAACATCCTGACTTTGCTTCTGGGAAACATTTCTTCCTTAATATTTTTAAATCATGTTATGTTCTGTGGTCCTTAAATCTGATAAAAACATACTTTCCGCTGCGGTCGTCTGCCATCACCGCTCCAATCTGCTGATGGAAAACCAGTGTTTCCGAAAGGCTAATGATCACGCTCGCTACCGTGGCAACAGCCTGGTGCTCCAGTTGCTCTTTTAGACCAGTTTATGTCGACTAACTTTTCATTTTAAAGCAAAACAAGTCTATTTAGGAGAAGAAGATGGCTTCCTGCTTTACTGATCACATTGATATGCAATGATTAATTAGGTACAAGGAGATAAATGTGATTGTTTTGGGATGGTTATGTCTATCATTGGCTAACAAGTTGAAAGGTTTTTTTTATGAGGGAATCCATCATATTTCTGTAAAGAGTGAATATTTTGGTGGTTTTCTAGTTTTGAAGCCAGTAGTTGGACTCCACCTACCCACCATCCGTGTTTCAGTGAGTTTTGTGTTTAAATGCTCGTGCAGGTCAGAGAGCGTCTGCACGTGTTTTATTTATGTCAGATTTAATCTGAATTCAGGCCAAAGGGTTGCAGTCGTCCTAACCAGTGAGGAGAAAGCAGAAATGAGGCCAGGACGGCGTTGAGGCAGAACACAGCTTCCTGACTGTGTCAGGTTACTGGAGTTCATGTAAACTCGCTCTCTGACGACCTGAACAACCTGATTTCTGCTGTGTGAAATGTGATCCGCGCTCATCTCTAATGATGTTTTTTGTTTTCTTTCTCTTTCATGGCTGATGATCCTCTTCCTCCTCACCCTGCAGGTAAGACTCCTCACTGTTTAATCCTCTGCTGGCTCTTGGTGTTTGTCGTCGTTGTAGTAGGACTGCAGTCATGCACGTGTGCAGATTGTCCCCACCCTTCCTGTTTCTGTAGCAACATGAGGGGAGCTGCTTCATCTCCTGCTCTGCTCTGAGTTTGTCTGCTAATTTCACCAGAAAACAGAATTAGTCCAAGCAGTGAACCCTGTGGTTCTCCAACCTGTTGTATTGAGAAACTGAAATATTGGATCCATATGATTCGACCAAACCTGGAGCTGCTTTGCGTATCTCTGTAAACAAATATTATACAAATAATGAATAAAAGATCAATTAGTAAATAGGCCTGCCGCAATAAACGATGAATCANAATTAAATAATCACATCAAAAGTTAGAAACTCTGTCTTTTGTCATTTCTTTGATTACCAAATATATTAGTGTGTGTGAGGAAATGTGTCAATGATGGGTATTAACTTAAAATACATTGTAGAACTTTATAAAGTGGGAGATAGGAGGGGGGTTTGTCAGTTTGAATCTCTGAGCTCAGGAATCCATTATGGGGTCTGTGGCAACTAAGAACATCTATAGGAAGTCATGTATTCCCAGTTTAATAACCATTCTTAACCAAACTAAATGACAACATTTACCTATGGCATTCAAAGTGCTTTATTCTGTACACACCTTGTTGATATTGTGATTGAATTAATGTGTTTTATTCTTTAGTTTTAAAGAGGTTGGAAAATTTCCACCTATTTTGATGGACAAAATAACTATTCCTATATATAGAATCAATATAAGATCCTACCAACAAAAAGGCTTTCAGAACAATTTCAATTCTTACATGAATTTGTTTAACAGTCCTAGTTGTTTGCTCATGCATTGTAATGAGCAAACATTACAATGCTTGGTGGTCCAGAACATCATTCATCTATTTATTGACTCAATTTATTTTCTTTAAAAAAAAAAATCTAAAATAATATTTAATAGACCTGATGAGTCGCAGAAATGTAGGTTAGCAGTTTATAGTTTGAGTTTCTAAGTGTAATTATTCTTCTGTTTTCTGTCACTGGAGGAGATGGGATCTCAAATTCAGGCCTTGAGCCAGTGTCCTGCAACTTCTAGAAGTATTCCTGGTCCAACACACCTGAATCAAATGGCTGCATTACCTTCTCAGAATGCAGACAGGTTCTCCAGAGTTCAGCTAATGACTTCATTATTTAACTCAGGAGTGTTGAAGCATGGACGGATATAAAAGTTGCAGGACACAGATCTGGCCTGGAATTGAAGATCCCTATTCTGCAGTCTTTATTAGATTTAGGAATTTAGATTTCGATACCATGTCTTATAGCAAGTGGGAGATTACAATATTTAAAAATGAAAAAAATAAATAAAATAAAGTGGAGTAGTTCTTCATAATCCTCATAGAAATGTCTATAAAATTTTGCAGTGGGCCAATGTTAACCCCAGAGCTTTGTTAAGAGATGAGCATTAATTGCCATTATGCTCCCCAGTTAGAAGTTGACAATCACAAGTTTCTTTATATTTCAGAACAAGTTGTTCAATATTTGTTAGGAAGGATTAACATTCTGTATTGGAAAATTTAAACAGATGTAGCTGATTATAGCTTTGTGGAAATAGGCAGTCCTTTGCCAGAGCATGTTTTTAAGTACCCCAGAATGGCTATCACAGGAGATTCAATAATTCCTTAAACATGCATCTTTCATGCATGAAAGAATCAAAGTAACAGTTTCTGATATAACACTAATCATTATATTCATCCAGCCATCCAACACGCTCATCCTTGCAGATAACATATGGAGCTAAAAACTATTTTACCCTCCTCAACCCCAAATTATAACCTCCCCACCCCAGACACACACACGCACACACACACACACACACACACGCACGCTTCTCTTAAATATTATATTTTTGTTTTCTTTGTTTTTGTCCACAAATGTATGCTGAGGTCTTCTCTCACTCTCTTCTACCTATCTGGCCCCAGATCTCAAAAATGCTCCTTGAGGAGCATAAAGGAATAAATTCAGTCTAATTTTGGTTGGAACCTCAATTTTCTGATTACCATCACTTGAGATGTGTATTGATGTGTGTTGTTGCAGTTGAAATTTAATTGATTTACAGTACCCAAACGTTTCCCCATCTTTTTAAATTTCTTACTAAAAGATGTTGTGTATTTAAGTTCTTTGGATGATTCCATCTCACTACTTAGCAAGTATACTAATTACTAATTTACCAATGTAAAGTGACATTATGGTCCTCAGTCTATAACAGTTGGTGGCAGTAATGCAGAACTTCAATGTTTGCCAACTACCAATAAACACTAAGAAGAAGAAGATTTTTTTTGAGGGGGGGGGGCGCTGTGCATTCTGGGAACAACACAACGACTTCAAGATGGCGGCGAGCAGAAGGCTGGCCAAGGTAAACGTTTCCGTTTGAACTCTATGATGCATTCTTCTTAATATGTAGATGCCTTGTTGGGGCCAAACTTCGTGATCACATTGTGTCTAAGAGCATACAAAATAATGAAACAGTTCAATGCTGTACTTACTGTCTTAATCTTTAAATCTTCGGTTAACGAGAGGTCATGCTGGTCGTCCAGCCAGGCAGTAACGTTGTGGTGATCTGCGAGGAGGCCAATAAATTCATGGCTAGCCCTCCTAAGACATCCATCTTATGGATTTTGTATACGATTGGGTATCGGTTGCACCGGTGCTTTGATTAAAGAAGTCGTGGAAATTTGATGGTTTTGTTGTTGTTTTTTTTTGTCCAAACGTATATGATTTCAGTGCGAGACTGGTTAGGCAGTTTATTATTCTAAGATGGTAATAATTCATCACTCCGGTGGTTTAAGTCGATCACACCCTACAGGATAGTTATTAGCTGTGAATCCTGGGTAGGAAGTTTAACATTATGGAAACGAACTTCCATTTATTCTTTTGCGTGGAGTTTTATTTAATCAACTGTGGTGCACTTTGTTTTACAAAACACTGGTTTTTCAAAAATGCGGTCTTTTTGTATTGAGGGTCACATGACTATCAGAGTTATTAGTCACTTGATGAAGTCACATAAACTCTTATTACCTAGGAAAATACCTAGATAAAATCTGTTCATACAATTTATTCCTCCAAAAGACAAAATCACCAAAAATTTGATCAGTATATAATTTTTGATGTGTTTGAGTTGTAACAAGAAAACAAAACTGACGAGGCCAAAAGGATCATATCTGCTTTTTGTACTTCCAAGATATAATTGATCATTCAATTCGCTTTAAAAACACACCTAAACATTCAATTAATGTTTAGGTGTCTGGGGTGGGGAGGTTAGTCAAACAGGATCAAAACTTATGTAAGGAACTCTGGTAGGTATAGACAATATTATCAGCATGGTGTCTATATCGGCTGATATTAGCTGTAAAATTTAATATTGGACATTGGCCATACTGACAAAATAATTCACTGATATAAAAGGCATTGTTTTTATATGATAAACCAGTGACAATGAGTCCTGCAGCACAGCATCATAAACTGCTAAGCGTTAATGCATGACTGATGTGCTTTTTGCTTGTGAACAAGTAGAGTTTAGTTTTGTGAAGACTTACTGTTTGAGTATTGTTACTGTCTTAGAGAGAGCAGATGTTATGAATAAATTTGTCATTAAACATAAGTTCAAAGTGTTACATCATGTTCATCCTTCTTTTTAGCATTTGCATTGATAGCAGGCTAAATTGGCAAAGAATGCAATATTTTAATTTACACAGTAGAGAGAGTCATATTGTTTCAGTAAGTAGGTATAGGAAAAAATATTGGTATCAGTTATCGGCCAAATGAGTTTTAGTATATCGACATATCGAATATCGACCAAAAATCCAGTATTGTGCATTCCTAAACTCAGTGTCACTTGAACATCTGACTATTTTGGTAATAAGCAAATGCATCATGCCAATAGAAAATGAGAAAAGAATTTAGTCTGGACCTCAGAAAGAGAATAGATTCTTATTGTGTGTAGTGCTGCAGCTATGATTATTTTAGTAATAGAATATTCTGCCAATGATTCTGGCAATTAATTGGCAATTGACAAAATTGTCAGATTTGGCAGTAACTGTTTAATTTATAAGTAATGCAGCTTATCCTGCTCTGCCACAACTGCTCAGACTAGTTACCATGACCACTGATGATAAACAGTTATTTCTCCACCATTAAGCAGCTCACACATGAGGATTGACCTTCCCTGTAGCTCTGATTAGTTGTTTTTGACTGGGAGCAGTACAATAGGACCACTGGAAGGAGGTGGAGGGTGGAGGAGCTTGATTTTTTTTTCACAGATTATCTGTCTCATGCTGTCACAACATGGTGACATTTTTGACAAATAGTAAAAACATAATTTTTATAAAAGTTATATACACCAGCTTTGGATAATATTATATTGCTATAAAATATTGCTACTCTTACTTGAGCAAAATTTCTGGATACCCACTGTCAATAACTTCACTGAATGAAAAACAAATATGCTTTAAATGCATATTTAACCAAATAAGCATTTAAAGACAAGACACATACAGTTTGTTAATGTGAGACCCCTTCTTTAAACACAAGCTTCTTCATTTTCTATTTGCTGAGCTTCTTCCAAATGTTTTGTTGTGTCTAGAACAACTGTATGATGCATTATTCCAAAGCATCAGGAGACAAGCTTTGTTGCAAACTAACATAAGCATTGCAATAAACACAAGGTTCAAAATCATTGGGGAGAAAAATAATTGGTGATGTCATCAGGGATCTCTGGTGGTCTGCTGGCCTGAACTGGAGTTGATGTTTCAAGGAAGACCATTGTCTTCCATTGTCTTCCAAGTCCTGCTTTTTCCTTCCTTTTGTGATTGGAAATTGTAGTCGGCTGCATTGCTGGTACTCGGCCAACTACATGCGTTGTTTTAAGGTAATAAAACTATGTTGTATTTCCTAACCCCCCTTTTTGCACCTGCCTTTTTAATGAGCTCTTCCCTTGTGCTAACAGCCGCACTGCTTCCTGTTGGCTCTGTTTTGATGCAGGCTGGTTACGTCATCAACAAGCATTACCGCAGTTAGGCGGTAGATTGCAGATCGCTACCGTAGGAAAATTTCTATCGTTTCTACTATGCCGCTTATATTGCGCATTCCTATAAGTGAGGCAGTGTAGCAGTTTAATTCAAGGGTGTAAACTGCAGTCCTCCGACCCTGGAGGACTTGAGTTCAAGACCACTGATAAAGAGGTTAATTGTTCTTAGAGTGCTCTATCCATGCATAGAAATTTGAGTGGAAAGAAAGAATGTGGTTGGAGAGTGCACCTGGAAAAATCCATCTAAGAATCTGGGGGAGCTTCACAAGGAACATACTGAGGTTGCAGTCAGCACAAGAGCCACTGCAAGCCAGGGATGAAGTGAAGACCCAGGTTGAGGCCGAATGTTTGTCTTAGACAAATATTTTAGGACATTGCTTTTTATGTACTGTAAAATGCAAAAATTAATGAAAATGTAGTCAATTACTCAACCAACACTATTCTTAGTATTGAACTAATAATGGTCATCATAAGATTGCAGGTGTTTGCCCAGCCAAAGCTAGGTCGCACTGCTTGTTATCACTCAGACGTGCTCTTTTAAATTGAAGGACCAAACGTCAGCTGTTGTTGTAAGCATTCACATGCAACACAGTTTTGCAGACATTAGCAGTAATAGCTTTGTATTGTTGCTAGGCCTGTCGCGATAAACGATAAATCAATTAATCGCACGATAAATTAAAGCTATGACCTCATTTTAATTATCGGCGTTATCGTCTCTTCCTGCCGTTTTTTCTTTCTCTTGATGACACTGAATGAAAAAAGGCTCAGCTCCGGTGCTCTGCACTGACCCTCCCTTCCTCATTTCCTTAGTGCAATGTCCAGCTCACACGACACGAGTTGTCGGCCCATTTTGAAAACCTGAGAGACGCATTAACTGACAGAAATCCTATGTATAACGGTTCGATCGAGTTCGACCATCCTTCAAACAATGGGCACAAAATAATGGCTACAAGTCCAGTTAACTAATTTTAAAATCAGGCATTAATCAATGCTTTACTAGAATCTAGCTGCAATGCATGTGACCTATTTATGTCACGTTAACGAAGAACAGCTGAAATGTTACCGGGTTTATCAACTGCGGTAGCAATTTGGCTCCAACTCCTCCCCTTGTCATTTCTATATTCTTTGCACAAAATGTTGAATAAACATTAATGTTGTTTCCACATATCATCTCCGATGTCCGCTGGACTTCGGGTCAGCTGTTTGGGATTCCTCTCATAATTTCCCCTCAGAAAGCACGGAGGAGAATCCGCGCTTTCTGATTGGCTACCTGTCACATTCAGCGTTAAGCTCCCAGTGGGGAAAACCCCTGATTTAGATCGGAGCGGCCACAACGATCTACCGTAACACACCATACACTACAGGATGATCGGTTACGAAATCACCAGCGACAATCTTAGATCGGCCAACGATCTAAGATTGTCGTAAGGGGAAAATGGGGGCAAAAAATCGTGAAGTGTGAACTACTGCATTAGGTGATCGGATGTGCCCATCTTCTCTATTTAAATCTACTGATTACTGAAGGTCAATATAGTATACAGACTTCATAATCTGCACTCTTTCGGTTGAATGGAGTATTTATTTCCACTTTGGCTTCAGTTTTTATTCAAGTACGTTTTTTGTTAATGGAGACTGAGAATCCATTTTATTTTTGTTTTTGGTTTTGTTTATTTAGTTTATCAGTTCCAGTGTTATGTGTTCTTTTGAAAATAAAGTGTATCTAGCTATGGCAGGAAATCGCATGCATTATTACGTCATTTCCATTAAATCAGTGTCAAAAGGTCTTGAAACAATATTATCGTTTATCGCAGTAATTTTTTAGACAATCGCTCAGCAGAATTTGTTATCGTGAATTTGTTTCTGAGATGGTGGACTGCAGCTGTGCTGGGATCACTATGTTGCTTTTAATTCAGATCTTGTTGTTCGTCTGCGGGTGGAAATAAAAGGGAGTATTTTTGTAATTTTGAGAAAAACTATAGAGTCTTGAGCTGGCTTTGACCCATTTTGTTCACCAAGACCAAGCCTGAGGCTTGACAATCTAGCAAAGGGCCAGTCTGTGATCCGCTGTGAAAAGAACAGTTACTTTGAAGAAAGTTAAGGAGTTCATGATGTTGTGGGAAAAAAAACTATTACCAAGTACTATCAGGTGAAATCACTCAATCAGGCTTATTCATATATTGTGCAGAGAGCTTGTAGGACAATCAGTAATGAAGGGGTTCTGGGATGGCATTGGATGACAAACTATTTTCAGTCATTGAGGACCAAGGTTTGAGAAACACGACGCAGCAGTTGAGGCCACAATATAATTTGCAGAGTTGGCGATATTTCTC